TGCGCCTGACCCAGGCCATTGTGTTTTCAATCGCCTCATATGGATGCGAAAGCTGGACAGTGAATAAGGAAGATCATAGAAGAATTGATGCCTTTGAGTTGTGGTGTTGGAGGAGAATACTGAAAGTGCCCTGGACTGCCAAAAGAACCAATAGATCTGTTTTGGAAGCAGTGCAGCCAGAGTGCTCCTTGGAGGCCAGGATGGCTAAGCTTTGTCTCTCCTACTTTGGACATATTGTCCGTAGGAAACAATCATTGGAGAAGGATGTCATGCTGGGTAGGGTGGAAGATCAGAGAAAAAGAGGAAGACCCCTAATGAGATGGATCAGCCAGGTGGCATCATTGATGGACTCAAGTGTGGCAGCTGTAGTGACGTTGACCCAGGATCGGACATTGTTTCGTTCTGCTGTGCATGGGGTTGCTATGAGTCGGTTCCGACTCGATGGCACCTGACAACAACAACAATGTGATGGCTGGAGTCCTGGTGTGGCACTGCGGGTGAATGCGCTGAACCAAAAGGTCGGTTTGCACTGAAAGGTCGGCAGGCGGTTCAAGCTCATCAGCCATTCCTTGGAAACCCTACTATACAGGGTCACTATGAATCGGAACCAGCTCGACGGCCCTTAACAACAACAACAATATGATGGCTGGAAGTGTGGTTACCTTGGCTGGGCCAGAACAAAGGATTTAGTGGGCCAGATGTTCCCCTGCCATACAGGGTCACTATGAGTCACAATAAATCAAAAACCGAGGGGAAGCCTTTTTTTTAAAACCTTTCTCCTTCTTTTCCTTTAATTACTACTTCATTCTCAAAAAAGTTATTGACAGAGGGTCAGAAATACTATTTACCACACTATTGTAGCTAAGACACCAGAAACTCTGACAGAATCAGAGACTATAAAATACCACCAGCAAAGAAACCAGCATGCTCATGTAGCGAGTGTAAGAGGTGCAGAGTAAACCACGTGATGTGAAGCGTCATTGTAATTGGATAATAGTGACAGCTCTGATTGGACTGCTTTGTTGTTGTTAGGTGCCATCAAGTGGGCACCGACTCATAGCGACCCTATGCACAGCAGAATGAAACACTGCCTGATCCTGGGCCATCCACACAATAATTACCACGTTTGAGCCCATTGATGCTGCCACTTTGCCAATCCATCTCGCTGGGGGTCTTCTTCTTTTTCTCTGACCCTCTACCTTACCAACATGATACCCTTCTCCAGTGACTAGTCTCTCCTGACAATATGTCCAAAGTATGAGACATGAAGTTTGGCCATCCTGGCCTCCAAGGAGCATTCTGGCTGCACTTCTTCCAATACAGATCTGTTGGTTCTTTTGGCAGTCCATGGAACTTTCAATATTCTCCTCCAACACCATAAGTCAAAAGCATCAATTCTTCTACGGTCTTCCTTATTCACTGTCCAGATTTCATATGCATATGAGGTTATTGAAAATACCATGGCTTGAGTCAGGCGCACCTTAGTCTTTAAGCTGACATCTTTGCTCTTCAACACTTTAAAAAGGTCTTGTGCAGCAGATTTGCCTAATGCAATATGTCATTTGATTTCTTGACCGCTGCTTCTGTGAGTGTTGATAGTTTTAGATGGTTCAAAAAATAAATCAGCGAAGGTTTTAGCCTTGTAGGTGGATTGCTACATGTAAACTGGGTTTACAAAAGATATTTTATCATTATAACTAACTGCAGGGATACTTTTATAAAAAAGAATAAATTTCAGCAGAAACACAGCACAAATATTTTAGTGCCATCCTTTCTGATAGTGTCACCTGGGGTGGTCCGCAACTTCTGTGCCCTCTAGTGACACCTCACCACTGCATTCTGCGGTACCTCGAAAGAAAGGCCTGGCAAACTACTTCAGAAAAATCAGTCACTGAAAGCCGGATGGAGCACAGTTCAACTGTGACACATGGAATCAGCCGGAGTTAAAGTTGGCTTGGTAGTAACGACTTTAACAGCTCTCTTGGTCCTCTCTGCACCTCCCCCAGGCATCCCCAGCTCTACAAAAGACGGCTGCATCCAGCCTGTGCTCATGCCAAAGACCTCTTCCCTGGTCTACTCGGCTTTTGAGACCACCTTAGCTTCTATCATTCCCCCTATGAAGCTGCAATAGTATTTGCCCAAGTGGCCTGCAGGATTCCACTCTTGCCCCCATTCCGATGCATCCTCCATAAGCAGCCCGTGTAAACTACTTTTCAGGTCAACCAGTCCGGGCCACATGCTTCCTTAATATCTGCCAGTGGCTTCCATCACTTAGGAGGTTCCCTTTTGATGACAACTTCCAGGTCCTCCCCCTCATCAGCCCTTGTTTACCTTGCTCTCCCTGAGCTCCAGCCACAATGGACGCTTTCTGTTCTTCCAACAAGACAAATTCATTCCAGCTACCACACCTCTGCATATGCCGTTGCCTCTGCCTAGACTGCTTCTCTGCCTCTTTGCATGGCTGAGAGAGGCCTCTCCTGACCAGCCCCAGCCTGGACCTCAGTTGCCTCTCTCCATCCCTATCACCTTCCCTTGTTGGATTTTTTCAGGACATCATCTGGACCATGGACTCACTTGCTGCTCACCTGCATACTTTCTGCCTCTCTCCATTAGAATGTCAATTATGAGGTCTTGGCTTTGCCTTTCTTGGCCACATCGCTGGTGCCTGACACATAGCAATGCTTCAAAACTGTATACCAAGAGGATGAGTAAACACATGGATGAGCTGATCTTCAATTCCTGTTGGGCCAACTCCAACCCCATGTCCATTCCATTGTCAGAGAGATCTCTAAATCAAACAAATGTCATGATACTCCTCATCTTCAGAATAAAACCCAAACTCCACAGTCCGGCATATTCTGACCCTACCTAGTCTTCAAGATTCTTCTCTCTCTCCCTGAATCCACATGGGCTGTTGGCCTTACTCAGAATATTCGACTCTTGACCATGTTTCCAAGATGTTAAGCACAATGTCCCCTGACTTTGGCCATAGTCTTTCGGAGTCCTTAACACTCCTATTCATCCTTCAATGCCCAGCTCAAAATTCTCTCTTTGTGAAGCCTTCTCCAATATTTCCTAATCCCGACCTTCCTTCTGTATTCCTAAAGCCCTTGGTCATGATCAGTAAGTAATCAAGGACTGTTGTGTCCAGTTCTGTCCCAGCAAAATGAACTCCTAAAGAAGGGCAGGGCTCTAGTGTTTGAGGGTGCTTACCAAGTGCTTGTCTAAGAAATGAAAGGAAGTCACCATGGTTTCACTGTCCAAACCTGGCACTTATTCATCCAATAAGCATTAACTGCACCCCAAGCAGGCATAAGACATCTCACTATCTGTACCTCCAGCTTGTGGCTGCCCTAGGCTAAACCCCCATCGACCCCAGTCCTGCCCTCCCAGAGTGCTTAGTGTCTTCTACCTTCCTTAAGCTTTGCCCAGAGACTTTGAAGTGGGATGCCACATTTTTCAAGGACATGTTGTTAAACTCCTCTACCCACCACACACACAGTCACCACCCCAGCCATGCTACATAAAATCAAACATAAAAAACCACTACACAGTGCCAGCCTGGTGCTTGGCACACAACAGGTGTGAACAGATGAGAATAGTCCGGCATAACCTCTGCCCCTCGGAATCCATTGTGGCTATGATTTTTAGTGGTACCACTTTATCTACCTCCAAGTCACCCAAGCCTCCATTGGTGGGAGTCAGGGGGATCAGGTGTCATTGCTGTGCCTTTGACCCCATCTGCCCACTGACTTCTGATCTCCTGAGTCAGGCCAGGTAGGCAGGATAGAGGCTGCACATAGGGCAGAAGCCAGGGTCCCAGCTCATCCCGTCCTTGCCTAGCTTTCAGTTCCTGTGGGCAACCAAGGGCATGCCAGTCTGTGGATCCTTTACTACATCATTACCCCAGCTCCCATCACTACCTGTGTGGGATGTAAAAACACCTGAGTGTCCTTCTAGGAGCAATGGAGCTAGGTGACTCCTTGTGCCTAGTGTGGACGCAGGAAGCTGGCACTTTCTGCTGTCCTCCCAAAGGCAGACTGGCTTGTCCAGGGCAGTTCCAGCTCAGGTGACTTGACTATTCTTGTCAGCCCATGACCAGGCTGTGACCCAGGTGATGGTACACACTCATTCTAGTTCTTTGTTGTCACAGGAAAGGCAGTGGCTACTTACTTGGGGCCAAGTGTGCCCAATACTCCTCCAGCAGCCCATTGTCCAGATAAGCCAGAGAGATAGCTCATCCAAACATTCAGCTAAGAGGTGGAGGTGAGCCTTGAACACAAGGCAGGCTGGTCCTCCTTATACTTTATGGACTCCTTGGAGCAAAGGTGCTCAGGGCTGGAGGTTGTTAAGAGCGACCCCATGCAGCCTCAAGAGGATGCCTGGCCTCAAGGCAACCTGACAAGTGGGCTGATGTAACCCAGAGAGCACTGGACTGGGAGTCCAGGGGCTTGACTTTAGTCCTGGCTTCATCTGGGTCTCACTTTTCCCACCTGTCCCAGCTTCGGATTACAGCTGCCTCAGAGGGTCTGGATCCTTATCCAATCTAAGCTTCCACCTGGAACCCTAACTGGGAAGCCCGACTACGTGAGGCGGCCTCTCCATGTGGGTCCCAACTCCAAGCCAGTGGCAGCGGTTCAGGGACAGGGCAAGCCGGCCAAGGTTCAAGGCCCAGGTTCACCCTCGGGGCCGCAGGCTGAGCCATGGATTGTGGGGTCGTGGACCGCCAGCTGGAGGGCTACTTAAGGAACAGGGGGGCGATCCCCAGTCCGAGAGCCCACCCCCGACTCAGCTCAGTCGGGAGCGCCCACCTGGCTCCTTCGAGGGCGGTCCTCGAGGCCGGGCTCCTTTCTCCCTCTCTGGGTGTCCACAAGGGAGCAGAGCGCATCCCAGGAAAGACCGGGTCCCCGGTATCCGCTCGAACTCAGAATTCCTGGGGGCCCGAGTGCATAAGCGCCCCCTTCCCATAGCTGCTCCCCCTTCCCCCCATGATCACTGACCATAGTGACCGGAGCCAGGTCCTGCCCCAGCCAGGAGCAAGCCGGTGCGGGAGGGCGCCGCGGAGGCTCAGGCCAGCTTCGCGGTGGGATCGGGCGGCACAGCCTCGAGGGCGTGGGGGCGTGCGGAGAAGACACCCGACCAACCCGCAAACCAGAGGGCAGACCTCCACTGTGTCCCAGCAAGACACACGCCCCGCGACTGACGTCAAGAGCGACCAATCATAAGACAGGGCTTTGTACGTCACAGAAAGTGTGTGGGACTTTCCGTGCCTTCAGCCTATGCTTTAGGCCTCAGCTGACAGGGTACCTCCCCCTTTTAAACACACAGAAAGCTTTTAACTAGCAAAGGAGTTCGCCCAACCCAGAAAGACAGGTCCTCGGTTATAAAGACTGAAGGACTTTGAGAAAATCTACAAAATGAAAGATTAGCTGGTTCTCATAAATTCGTAAACAAGGGCAGGTAAGTATAGTGTGTTCAAGATCAGAGGATAATGCACTGAGGAAACACGTGTCCAATCACATAAACTTAAGCACATGTCCCTGTGCAGCTTCTAAATAATATTTCTCCCCTTCCCACTCATGAATCAGGAGTTTTCTCGACAGCCAATTACTACGTGTGGAAGGAATGAATTTCCAGGGTGGTTGACGCTGTGTACAAGCTCGTAATTGCTGGGCATCAAACATTCAGCACCCAACGATCCATTCACCAGCCTCTGACCCCTGCAGGGCTGTGCTTTGGGTGGGGGCTTCAATACATTGTGTATACTCATTTTTTTTTTTTTTTTAAAGGAAGTATTAACACTCCCACTAGTACGGAGTAATCCCCCTCCCCATGCCTGGCCTCTGGTACCTGGTACAGACAAACATCATTTACTTGGGGGAGGGGAGGGAAGGGGAGGGTCTAGTGAAGTCCAAGTAGCAATAATTAAAACCACAAGAATGGACTCAAACACACCAACCGTGGACTGAATAATGATCCTGTTGTTGTTAAGTGCCCTTGGGTAGGTTCCGGCTCAGCAATCCTGTATAGGGTTTCCTAGGCTTTTTACGTGTTTGCGATAGCAGAGAGCCTCATCTTTCTCTCACATAATGACCCTAGCTTTTAAAGAGCACTTCGATATCCGAAACACTTACCATAGTTCATTCTCACAAGTGGTTTATTAAGGTTGTTATTGTGAGTTGCCATGGAGTTGATGGTGTTTCACGATGACCCCATGTGTGCAGAGTAGAACTGCTCCATAGGGTTTTCAATACTGTGACCTTTCAGAAGTAGGTCGCCAGGCCTTTCTTCTGAGGTGCCTCTGGGTCAGTTCGAACTATAGTCAGGCGCTTGCTTAACCGTTTGCACTATCCAGGGTTGTTGTTGGTGTTGATAAGTGCCATCGAGTTGGTTCCACATCATAGCGACCCTGTACAGGGTTTCCAAAGAATAACTGGTGGTTTTGACTTTGTGATTCTCAGTCCAGTGTTTATCCTACAGCCCCACACCTGTTATTAGCACTGTTTTAATGTGGTGCTGTGGGATAAAGCACTGGACTGCAAGGTCAATTTGAACCACAAGGTCAGCAGTTCAAACTCACCAGCTATTCCTTGGAAATCCTATACAAGGCTGCTATGAATTGGAACCGACTCGACGGCACATAACAACAAGGATGAGGAAACTGAGGCACAGGCAGATAAAGTTCCTGGGCCACGTTCACATAGCTCCCAGGTGGGATGCAACCCCAGATAACCTGACTCCAGAGCTGGTGTTGCATTTGCTTTTGTTGAGGACGCTGGGTTTGGGAGAGTTTCTGCTTTGTTTCTAGCAGCAGAGGAAGCCAAGGCCCAGAGAAGTGGCAGGATCAACCCAGTGTGGCTCAGCATCCTGGCCTGCTGACTCGTTGTCTAATGCTTGTTTCAGGTCACGCTTGGCTTCCGTGGGCAGTGACTGAGCCAGTTGTGGCCCCAGGGGTGGGTGTGGGAGCCTTGGTTGTGCAGTCTTTGTCTGACCTGGTTTTTGGGGCCACCGGAGGGGGTGCTGAGTGAGCCGAGGTTTCAGGTCCCTGATGCTGGGTTGCATTAAGCCCTCGGTGCCCAGTTGTCATATCCCCAATGCAGACCACAGCAGCTCTGAAACCAGCCACTATTTCTGTGTGGAAGGAACCCTGGGCCCCTGGCTGGCCTTGGACTCTTCTGCTCAGTCCTCAGTGGTCCCAGGCAATGAATGACCAGTCTCTCTCTGGAGCCTGGTCCTTCACTCCTCCCATGAGAGAATTGGACAATCTGGACTGTTACAAAATAAGTTTGCAAAAATATCTTTGGCATCAAAGATGCATGGAAACAATTAGTCCAATGGATTAATGAAACACTTGAACATCACTCTCCATGACCCTGAGCTCAGAGGAAGGAGATGATGACCCAGCTACCACTATCAACGACTCTTAAAGGTCCTGGGTGGAGTAAGAGAAGAAAGTGGAACAACAAAAACACAACGTCTTGGTGTGGCACTGTAGGGTAGGCACTAGATCACAATATCCGTTCAAACTCACCAGTTGCTCCTCTGAAACCCTATACAGGGTCGCTATGAGTGGAAACCAATATAACAACAACAATATATATATATGTGTATCTAAAGGAGCTCTGGTAGCTTAGTGGTTACAAATCGGGCTGCGAATCTTAAGGTCAGCGGTTCGAAACTACCAGCCGCTCCGCAGGACAAAGATGAGGCTTTCTACTCCCGTAAGGATTTACACCCTCAGAAACCCTGTACAGGGTCGCTATGGGTCGGAACCGACTCGACGGCACTTAACAACAACAACAATGTGTATCTACATAT